ATGTGTTTTTAGCCAAAGATTCCGAATATGGAATAAAAAATAGGGGTTCCCGTTTAAGATTTCAAACTTGCCCCCCCTCACCGCCCAGGGGAGGGGTGGGGGGGCTAATTTTAACGTCATTGTACGTCCCCCTCGAAATGACGAAATTTTGATTCTAAACATTTTTTCGTAGTGTGCTTATTTTTCGAGTTATTTGGCTGCCTAAGTTAAAATGGGTCACCCTGTATATATATATATATATATATATATATATATATATATATATGTATGAGGCATTCTGCGTCAAACCGGCCATCCCCTTCGCCCAAAATTTGTATGGATCGATTGAGGTCAACCAGGGCTCAAATTTTAGGTGATCATGTCTAGTTTGCCATCTGGTCTTTTGAGAAATTCATCATGGCGGCTCTAATATAGCAGCGGAAACTGAAAAAAATGATGGAAAAATCCGTACGTGATTTTCCTAAAGTTAGTAGTTCTTAAAGCGATATTCAAAACTCATCTAGAATGTCCCTTTAACCTTCATTTACTTTACTTCTTTCAAGGAAATTGGTACTTCTTGAGGAGCATTGAAATACCGTTTTATCAATAATGTTATTAATAATTTTATCAATAAGAGTATTCCAATGTTCCTCAAGAAGTACCAATTTTCTTGAAAGAAGTAAAGTAAATGAAGGTTAAAGAGGCGTTCTAGATGAGTTTTGAATATCGCTTTGAGAATTACCTTAGAGCGTTTATTGTTCAATCTAATGTTAATACTCTAGAAGATTTCAATTGATTCGCAAATGCATAAAGGGTGCATTTAAGGTCTTAAGGTCGTAATCAGCGACCTTGGATTGATCATTTTGGAGCCGATTTGAGTAATCGTGTGGCGTATAGGAAGTCACCTACGGATTTTTCCATCGTTTTTTCCAGTTTCCGCCGTCATATTAAAGCCGCCATGATGAATTTCTCAAAAGGCCAGATGACAAACGACACTAGACCATCTAAAATTTGAACCCCGGATGACCTCAATCGATCCATACAAATTTTGGGCAGAGGAGATGGCCGATTTGACGAAGAATGCCTCATATATATATATATATATATATATATATATATATATATATATATATATATATATA